AAGCACAGCACCATGATGCCAATGGACCCCATTTGGGGCCAGCTAAATGGGCAGCCCAGAAGTAAAGAGAACCTGTAGTCTGTTTCACAAAGAGGAAGTAAGTTGTCTGGGACTTAAAAACTTTTCAGTAACGAAAGGCGTCTCTTGCTAAGTTGCTATATTCCTAAGAGAGCAAAGTCAACAACTTAATTTACTGCCTCTGAAAGAGCAACCAAAATATGGCTGGAATAAAAATTTATTATATTCATCTTGTAGCAGGGAATTATTTCCATTCTCCCGCAACTGATCATAGTGCAATATTCTCACTCAAAACATACTTTATAAGCAGGAAACAAATTGTTCTAGTATGATAATCCTCTTAACATTTTTCTTAATTAAACTAATAATTCATTTTTGTCATATTAAACGTGCTTATTCGATAATGAACAATGGTTAGAATTTGAATCGCAGAATGGAATGAAAGAAATCTCCATCTCCATGGTAGTATATTGAGAGTAAATGTAGGATAGGCGAACACATACTCGACAATATATAAAAAATGAATTAGAAGTGAGAAGTGGCAAACCGGGAAAGAGGAGCAGATCTCTGCCATGGCAATTCCTACAAACCAGGTGAAAAATGATACCACCACCCATCCCCACACAAGGCTTGCAGGACCTGCATATGCAAGGCTTGAACCATACAAGGGAGTAATTCCCGTGAAAAGTGTCATCGTGGAGAATGATATTGCAAGAGTTTTGAACAGAGTCTGCAGAAAATGAAGTATCCAATCCACAAAGCTCAAGTTAATATGATAATAAAACATAACATGAAATCAAATAAAAAATTACCTACCATCTCTCTTCTGAGTTCTTGCTTGTAACCAAGCTCATTAAGGCGCTTTTCTCCTGAATCCATCTCTTGGATTCTTGATGCATCTACTTGGTTGTGTACCATTTTAGCTCAAAATTAAATTAGCAGCTTATAAATATGCAACTGGATTTTATACAACAAGGAAAGAGAGAGAGAGAGAGAGAGAGAGAGAGAGACTCAAGCAAAGTAGCGTAAACCTTGTATTCAATGCCACTTCAGTTTTTTTTAAAGGTTTACAAGACTTTAGGCGATGATGCACGTAAGCCTCAAACAGTTGCCATGTTTGAAAATTCGTCATTAAACAATTCAACATGAAAATAACGGCCCAATTTTAAATTTTCTCATGCTCTCCCCATTCCTCAGCTCACATTCACATTTCTATTATCTCTGTCTCCCTCTGTACTCATCATCCTACACCCCCTACCCCCGTCTGACTTTTCTAATTTTCCATTCCTCAAACAGGTCAATCATTTTCTTTCTCCATAATACTTATTGGGTTTACTGTTTTATTGGATGTCATGTCTGAACAAAATTAGTTGACTTTGTCCAAGCAAAACTATTTGACTGCTTCTACATTTTATGGAAATAAAAACAAATGTAACTCAACCAACCACAGAGAGAGAGAGAGAGAGAGAGAGAGAGAGAGAGAGAGAGAGAGGGCAAGAAAATTAGATACTTTCTTCTCATCGAATATACTGGGAAATATTTAAATGGAATGGGGATCTAGATACGTACAGTATCTTCCTGTGGGAGGTGGGCTTTGGAATTTTGAAATTTTCTATGCAGAAAGTCGCACAAGCAAAGTCAAGCATTGCGCAAAGTTTAATAATATAAATATACAATAGCATTGCATTGCATGGCTGGCTTCCTTGCCGCCCCTATTTCAACGCCTAGATATATGCTTCCAACTTTATTCAATCCTTCTCATGATATTCTCTTGTCTTTTTGCGTTTTTTTAAAATAAAAAAATCTGCTGATCCAATCTGCTTGCGATAAACCAATCAAATCATTCCAAGTATATTTCATGCTTTTTGGTGTCCAGGCATTTGAAACATTCAACTTTAGTTTTTCTCATGTACTTGATTCCAAGAAAAATCTGTGATTGGTTTTGATTTGATGATAACTTTTTTTCTATGTTTCAATACTTTTTAATTGAATAAAAAAATTTATCTTCCCATCCAATCCAATGCATGAACCCCTCTGCCTTCTTCGGCCATTGTTTGGCTCTCTGAGTTTTCTGAGTTTTGGGGAGGACACAAGAAGGGAGGATGGGGGTAAAAAACTTACTGAGTTTGGGAGAGGACTTGAGAAGGGAAGATGGGTGAAAAACCAAGAGGACGTTTGCTACTTCTACACATCGCACCGTGCTGCCGTACCAGCAATGACATTGAGATAGTAGAAGGGGAAACGGCAATGGCTCTCTGTGGTCTTGTGGTTCCTTGTTGGTCCATGCCTTGGAGATTGGAAATAAAGGGAAGACCGCATTACTTTCATTGTGGTTTCAACTTTCACAATATCACTTTGATCTCTTTCAAAGTAAGTTGAAGACAAATATTACTTGAGCTTACGCAGAGGCAAGAATAGTAAAGTAGTCATGATGGAAGAAAGTGCAGTGATATTATGTCAAAGGTGCAGCATCGAAGGAATGAAGAACTTGTTCTAGCATTATTCTTGTATTGGAGTTAAGAGGACTCTCTGGTTTGTCTGAGTGAGTGATATTGACGAGGTATAGCTTCTTTGAGGCCACAAATGCAGCCGAAAAGATCCTCTTCATCCCTCCTCTTGTGCTATCAACCTCATACTCGAACTCGTATACTTGTAGGCCACCCTGGCCTGGTCTCTCTGCAAATCCAATAACCACAGCATCTTTTGTACTTTCCTGTGTATGAACAGAGAGGTTTAACAAGACAATTATAAATTTTAATATTTTGAAAATAAGAGAAGTGAAACTTTTCATAATAAAGAAAAAAGGAAAAAGTATATACTGTAAGCTCAATTCGGTGATATTCATCCGAAGTTGTGATGACACAATTGGGAATATCAGAACATTATTATACTGAGGTTGAACATACATAACTTATAATATTCCTTAAATCAAAGCTTCCAACTTCAATCAGCCTTTCAGTGATAAAAGATAGCAGCAGCAACCAATAATCTCAGGTCATAATAAAATGGGCTCATCCAAATTACAACAAACAATTCATGTGGCGTATTAGACGCTTAAGAAGAATATACTAGTACTACAGACCAGTCGGGTCATATCGTTCAGAAGAGAAGAAGTAAAATTTCAGTCATCTGTGACTATCTTGAACTTATTTACTTTGATATAAGGCCACTGTCTTGAACCTACATTACATACAAGCATACATGAATTCATGGTTGCATGCACAAGCTATTTTCTGTTGGCAATGTATTTTAAAGGATTATGCAGAAAAAGTTTAATAGAAGCTTGTGCTAGTAAGAAATAAAGAAATCTAGTGATAATTATGTCTGCAAGCATGTAGCTGTAATATTCTTTGTAATCATCTTTGTCTTTCTGACTTTGATTTGCAGATCAAAGTCAAGAAGGAGATGTACTTGACTGAACTAAGTAAAACACGTGTCGGAAAATTGCTACTCAACTTTAGCAGGTATGTAATCACTTCACTTCTTTCCTCATAAACTTCTTGTTCAAATTTTACCATTAAGCAGCCATTCCCTTTAATTTGATCCCCTTTTTAAATATTGCGGCCATGTTGTCTACACGGGATTGTTACCACAACAGCAATGCTATTAACATTATTTGGTACAAAGTCCTGTTACTTTTTATATTGCTGTTGTTTTGCTTACTCATGTCCGTTGCTCTTTCTATTTGCCAGTCCACAGTCCATACATACATGCATACATATTATATTAGCGTACTTTCACACATTGACCCCCGGGAAGAATTCCGGGATATGTCACTGTCAGCAAGTGGTATACTATAAACCAACATATACACTGTTCTTAGATTTAACAAAGAAACAAATTTGGTTTACTGAAATGCCTAACTTAACTGAATTCCATGGCAACTCTGCATCCTTAAACACATCCCACCCCACCCCCCAAAAAAATATTTCTTTTCTTCATATAGCAAATCATTTTCTGCGCCTAGCCCTAGTTTTCTAAGAACAAGAAAGATATTCTCCTAGTGAACCAAGCATAAAAGATACAAAAGGCCACAATAGGCATAATCTTTATCCTTAAACAAAATGCCGCGGTCTAATAAACAGAAAGAAAACTAAATGCTGGCATTGGTGGTTTATGCATTGATGCAAATTTCCTTTGAACCAAAATTCCCACTCATATATATATATAAAGGTGGTTTCTAAGTTACTACCAACATCAATCATAAATCACCATCAGCAACTTCAGAGAAAAAGATAATAATAATAATAGCAAATACACATTCAAGGGAAGCACTTTTCACCTTGCGCCTTTCAGCTTGTATAAGCTTATCAGCCACAAATTGAGGACTGCCAAACTCTCCAAGGCTCGTAAGACGAACCGGGTTCACCACAACACCAATATTGTTGCTTCCGTTATTAGCCTCTTCAAACAGAGCAGTTGCCCCTGCTTTTTCGACCTGCCCATCCATAAGCAGCCATTTTCATCCACACAAAATCCACTTATACTGACTGAAACTGAAAGCAATACATTAATAATCACACAGAGTGACAGAGAGCAATAAAAATACAAGCTTGAACTTTTGGTTCACCTTTATCCAAGAGGAGGGCCGGAGGAGAGTGAAACCCTCCTTGGAATCTGTGTACCTCTGAAGCTCCAAGTCTTGAGCGAGAATGGCCTTTTGCAGGTTTGGCAAAAACCCATTTAAGAAAATAGCGACAATTGAGAGGCCGAGGTCTCTCTTGGTCAAACAAGGTGATGATGGTGTTTCTCTTGGAGGATGAAGATGAGTGTGTCTTTGGAACAAAGAAGCTCTGGGAATTGAATTTGAGAATTTCAAAGGATTGTGGTTTGAGAGCGTAAAGCAATTGCAAATGCACGAAGCCATCACTTCACTTTACCAGTGGACGAGATATTCCAAGAAGATGACATCTTACATCTCACAAAATGAAATTCCATATCGATATAAGTGGTGTCGTTTTGGCGGAAAGTGAATTCTGAAAATGGCGTCGTTTTGGCTCGTCTCTCGCGCTTCGCGTAGGTTTCTGAAAGCTAAACCTTCACTTTCTCTCTCCCGCGCCCTATTCGCAGTTACCACCTACCAACCAACCACCACCACCACCACCACCACGAAAAATTCTAACCCTAACGATTATCCCAACGGAAACCAGTTGGGCCCATTCACTCAGAGGCAACGTTGGACTCCCAGTTGCGTCGAATTTGATCTGAGACTCGTAGCCCACATCTCCAGCTCGTCTTCATCTACAGGCGCCAAGAAGGACGAAAATCAGGGCAGCAATGACGTCAAGGTTGAAGTTGAGGCGTCTTGGATCGACTTGTATTTGCCGAGACAAGCTCGCCCTTATGCGAAGCTCGCTCGCCTGGACAGGCCCATTGGCACTTGGTTGCTCGCTTGGCCTTGTATGTGGTAAGCGACTCTTACCTCAACTTTTTAAACTTTGGTCTCTCTACTGGATTGTTTGCTTTGACGGAAAGTGAAGGAATGCTGGTCAATTTGTTTGAAGTTGAAATTGTGTGAAAGACACAGTTGTTGGTGCAGGTCAATAACATTGGCTGCGAGCCCAGGACACCTTCCTGATATTAAGATGATGACACTATTTGGATGTGGGGCTCTGCTCTTAAGGGGCGCTGGATGCACCATAAACGATCTCCTTGACCGGGATATTGATACCATGGTAATGTCCACTGGCCTTTGCAGTTTATTTCATTGCCTGTTTTGTTTTCTATCTTGTGGTTGTGAACCTGTGAGTGCCTTTCCTTTTAACTCCAGGTGGAACGTACAAAATTGCGGCCAGTTGCAAGTGGTCTTTTGACACCTTTTCAGGGGATTTGTTTTCTTGGATTTCAATTGCTTTTGGGTTTTGGAATTCTCCTTCAACTGAATAATTATAGGTTAGTTTAATTTGTATATCTGCCCTTGCATCAGTGGCTTTTTTAGTTAATAAATCTGGTTAAACCAATATTATCTGCAAGCACATGAACCTCTGTTTACTTCATTGGAATTGACAGCCGCGTTTTGGGGGCTTCATCATTGTTGCTAGTTTTCTCCTATCCTCTCATGAAGAGGTTGACATTCTGGGTAATTAAACCTCCGGTTTCTTAACGTACCCTCAAGTTTTCTTCTTTTTTTAACTTTGATGTGAAACTTCATGACAGTTGACTAATTAATTGGTAAATGCTATCACGTTTGGTGCAGCCTCAAGCCTTTCTAGGTTTGACCTTTAATTGGGGAGCTTTATTAGGATGGGCTGCAGTTAAAGGAAGCATTGATCCAGCTATAGTGCTCCCATTGTACCTTTCTGGAGTTTGCTGGACACTTGTGTATGATACGATATATGCACATCAGGTAAAGCAAATATGTCACTGTAATACTCACATGGTCAGAAGTTGTAGTTTCCAAGATTTGAGTGTGATGAAACTGTGGAATATGTAGGAATAAGAGAACTATTTCAATGCAATCCAACAAATTATGTTTCTGACTATACTTGCAGGACAAGGAAGATGATCTGAAAGTAGGTGTTAAGTCGACTGCATTGAGATTTGGTGATTCAACTAAGGAGTGGATTACTGGGTTTGGAATTATGTGCAGCAGCAGTCTTGCCCTCAGTGGATATAATGCTGAAATCGGTTTTGTTTCCTCTATTTTTATTTTTATAATTTTTTCTTTTACCGTTATTGGAACTTTAATCCAATTCTTTTTCCTTCTGCCACATCCTCACACCAATCTTTCAACTATGGAGCAGGGTGGCCATACTATGCATTTTTGGGGGCTGCATCTGGACAATTAGCTTGGCAGATATGGACTGCTGACCTTTCATCCCGGGTTGATTGCAACAGAAAGTGCGTATTTTTGGTGATATGATCTTGATTTCAAGTAATCATAGAGATTAAATATGCGTATTGCATCAATGTTAAGTTTGCCATACTGCATATTTCTCCAATCAAAGAGAAACAAAAAAGGTAAATATTGAAAAAAATATAAGTTGGAGGGTTTCATACACTAGGGAAGGAAAAGCTCATTTAGGTTTAAGATTTCTTTGCTTTGTTTTGCCTTGAACATGATCAGCTTGCCTCAGCATTTGCTCTTGTTTTGGTTCCAGATTTGTGTCGAACAAGTGGTTTGGTGCTATTATTTTCAGTGGAATCCTGTTTGGAAAACTTTCATCGTAGGGGTAAGGTTACTTTTGGAGTAGTTACTTCCAACCTTGGGGTACTCCTATTATGGGCTATGTCTTGAATCAAGTTTATATATGGGATAAGAAGAAGGTAGAGAGGAGCGCGAGCGAGAGAAAGCAAATTCTAAAAGAAGAGAATGAGATGGCCATGCCATTTAGTAAAAGCACCAATCTTTTGTCAAGGTCGTGACACTGTCTCCATCTCTGTGTCTGTTTGTTTTGGCTCTCCCCAGTTCACAGGGTGGAATTTGGATCCAACTTTTGGCAACCACCTTGGTCTTTACGCGGTTCACAGAATAGTCAGTAATTCTACTTCATCAGAGAAGAATGACACAGTAGTTTTTTCTTTCTTTTTTTTGTCTTGATCTGGGTAATTTTGTTTTCTTTAATTGATCAGTAACTTCATTTATTGTTTTACTTTTAAGTATGAAATTATTGTTAATACGCATTGCAGTTCTTGGTACGTATGAAATTTGATTTACAACTTTGTAAGCTTCAAAACCTAAACTCATAATAGTGGAGATAATCCGGTTGCAAATTAGCATTTGTTGAGGTTAATTTGCTATAAATAAATAAAAAAGAGAAGAGAAAGCTTTGGCTTTCTTGTTCAATAGCAGGGAAAAAGCCCATCTCAAAACTTACTGATATACACAAGGGAATTACATTATGTAGAGGGAAACTCTTTCCATGTATGTAATTTACATGAGGAAAAAAGCACAAGGATGATAAGCATATCGAAACTACACTCGCATACTAACGAGCTACTTAGATGCTACTGGGGAAGTTTTCTGTATAGCCACTTCTTTCGAGCTGCAACATCCATTGCCGCAAACATCTTGGCTTTCTTACCATCTTCGATAATTAGAGAAGCTTCCAAGAAGAGCTCATCATCCATGCCAGGTACAGTTTCAAGTGAAGCAACAATGCGTTCTATTGAGCAGCAGTCTTTGTCTTCTTCATCACCAACCAACCCTTTTCCTATATGTGGTTTCTCATCCAAGGGTCTCCTCTTTGATGATTCTTTGAGCTCTTTTACTAGCTGAGGTGGATGAAGCTCCTGATTTTCGCTTCTTTTGCTGATCAGATATTTCATACTCCATGGCTGGGGAATCACCAAACATCATTTTGATCCCCATTTTCTCCATGTTCCTACCGAAACAACTTGATCTTCCATCAGGGGCTCCGTTGCTGTATATTTTAGTCAAATCATTATAAGTTCTGTCCAAGATTCTATTTGCACATGCAATTGGATATGGATGCTCCTGCAAAATATCATATTGACATGAAAGAAACGCATGTCACCAAATCAGGAAAGTGTCTCCTGAACCCAAAGCTACTCAGGGTTCACTTCGTGCAAAGGGATAGCATACTTTACCAACAAGTTCATTCAACATGCACACATACAAAACTTGCGGACGCATCATATTGCTTCCCTCCTCAAATGTTGAAGAAGCTGTAATTAGTACTAGAAATAGGAAACTCCTTTTGTCCTAGGCAGCAACTAGCAAGAAAAACACGCACCTTGATATTGTTTGCTGAGTTTCATCCCCTGCAAAACAAGTTCGTATTGAGAAAGTTTCTGACATCCTAAAACATTTGTAATAAATTTCATTCCATTGCAATAATCAAAGAGTCGAGCAGAATACACCTATGGCATTGTGAGAAAGGGAGAGAGGGCCGCGCACCAAGATTAACTCCCAGATCATCATCCATGTCATCCATAGTGTGACTTGAAGTACTCTCCCTTTTAAAATGGTCTCCATTTCCACATATCAAGTACAAATCATTGCAATTTGGGAGAGTTCGATTGCGGTATGATCGTTCATCAGGGTGTTCCTGCACCAGAACATGTGAGCTGTTAGCCTGCTATAGACATAAAATTCTTATGCAATCAACAATTCAACAAAAGACACACCTTGACATAAGCATCATCAGCAGTCACCATCTGTTGCATTTCATCCCAAGCAAACCCACTCTGGTCAAGTAGAGTTTTCATGCCATTGAATTGTTTCCTCAAATTTATAAATAAATAAAAACTACTTTTCAAAACATTTTTGTCATGGTGGGAACCAAATTCTTCTCTGCACTTTGAAACCATATCAGTCCAGGCTAGTCTGCTGAATTTATAGTTCACCATACTTCGATTGCGAACTTGCTCCAACATCAGATCAATGAAATATCGATCCATTGGAGGTGTCCAATCAGTTCTCCACTGATATCTATGGTTATACTTAGCTGCTTTAGAAATAAAACAACAATTGATGTATAAGGGAAAATTTCTTTTTTTGATTCGTCAAGTACATTGAAATTTCTTAATGAAAGACAAAAGCAATCGCGTTGGTTATAACTAGCAAACCAGGCAGAGCTCAGACAGCCATGATATGTCACATGTCAAGTCAACAAGCTCAAAGGTAATTCATGTGACATTACTTTTTATAAGCACATTTTAAGGAATAAACACATTGCAAACCCAGCAACACTATCAGAGACTACAGTAATGTTTCCAGCATAAGCAAAAAAAAAAAAAAAAAAAAAAAAAAAAAAAAAAAAAAGAAGGTGCTTGGCACATTATTCATAATGTAGGAAATGTAATTGATCACTTCAATTTCTTCCAATAGAATTTTCATAAAATCAATTACAAGCATTGGGATCGTGGTGGACTGTACAAAAATTTGTACCTAATAATCATGCCTAAGTTGTGTTAAAAATCGTGGATAAAGTTTGAAATGAACTTGGTTGATCGTGCTCAATAATCTTCACAGTCGGAGTCTGACGGCAAATCATCAAAGAAAGTAAGCAAAAAGTGAAGGTCATAATCCCATTTCAAAAATTCTTCCAGGTCAGGAATTGGACCGGGCACGTCGTAAAGAGCCATCTTTCTAACTGCCATTTTCACAACCGATGATGTTGTTGATGATCCTTTTAGTATTTCTTCATCTTCACGCCCTTCAACGTTACAAGATGGTGATGACGATCGAGATGACAAACAAATTTGCTTATTATTCTTGCCAATATAGTTCTTCTTGCTTGTTTCTTGCGTCTCAAGTTTTGTTGGATAAGGAGAGTTTCTCTCCAGCATCCGAATCTCGTGCACTATTTCAACTTTCTTTTTCTTGGGTTTTTGGTTAACGGCTACATTAGTTTCTCCGGTGTCTGTAGAAGACTCCGTCTCATCCGGGTCCAAAATCCGGATCCGAACCACCTTCAACCTTCCCTTCTTTTCTTCATGTTCTTGTTCTTGTGGCGCTGTCCTCCGGCCTCTGCGAGCTGTTGTTCTTGGGCTGTAATTGCTTTGGATTTTAGTGGATGAAACGGTGCGTTTGGTGGTGGAAATATGGAGTTGGCGTTCATGTTCTTGCTGGGCTGCCGCCGCCTCTTGTTTTCTCCTCCGGCCGCTGCAATTACTTTGGGGTTTCGTGGACGAAACGGCATTGTTGTCGGCGGGGTTGCTATTGGGAGCAGCTAGAGCAAGGACAATTCGTGGCATGGGGGTTTGCCTTGTTTTTCTTTTTCTGGACGAAGCAGAAGGACTTGAAGCCTCCATGATGATCGGTGTGTGCTTGATTCGCAAAGCAACTTTCAAGAATGAAGGGAAGTGAAATTACACTTGTTAGTTCACCACCTACATGTCTGAACTGAATTTATAGGGAAACTTTCCAAATGCAATAAGGAGAAAATAATATTTTGGCCTTCTAAATTCCACCTAGCTTCCTTGTGGGAAAAGGAAAGTAAATAACAAAATATTATTAACGCAGTTTAATCTCTGCTTCTTTCGGGATACAAATAAAAGCAACTTCTCCTAGTAAGATACGGGGAAATCCAGTCACCAGTGAAGCCACCACTCTGACACTGACAAGCTCGCTCGCTCGCCTCGGCAGGTCCTCACCTCACCTCTTGTTTCTCTGTTACATTACATGGCATCGTGTTTTTGTTTTGAAGGAGAATTCGGAGCAATCTTTGGCAATCAAGACTAGTGAATAACTAATCAATGAATATTATAAATTGAAGAGCACAGGCAGAGGCACTACTTCTTGTTTTTTTAACAGCCATGCGGTGGTTGTTAGTTGAAACCGTCGATTATTCTCTTGCATATGTACATACGTACGTACATACATACGTACATACACACATACATACAGAGGATGTTTATGTTATGTTGATACTACCAATTAACAATAGATTGAAGCGAGTTTGGAGTGTTTAGTTCAACAAAAATGCCACCGTTTGTGAGAACTGATCAAAGCTGGTCATGAAAACTAACAAAACTGATCTCTAGCGAGCTAGAATATATATTATTACATATCTGTACGATATAATATATAAGAAATAGAGAGAGTTGAAATCATGAGGAATCTTTCACAAGTATTGTGGTTAAACGTAACGGAGGATAATATGGCCCTTGTTCGCGTGGAAATCCCTCCCAGAGTTCACTCTGCCGGTATTTGGACGGATGGTGGTGCTGTGTCCGGTGGAGACTGAAGTTCTACATTTCCAGTCCTCGAAAGGCAAATGGGTTTGGCTTTCTTCACCACCCAAATCCTTCATCACATTCTCAGGTGTTTTGGAATTCCCGTCTTTGTCTCTCAAATGCTGGTATGTTAATCTATACTATATATGTAAATTGCACGCGGGCAGGTTTGATCCTTGGTCCAGGGGTTCTGGGGAGTATCCCTTCTTACGCAAGATTCATGTTCAGCATTGTGAGTAATTGGCACTCACTGTTTGGCACCTTCCGTACTTGGATCTACATTTTCCTTTTCTTATCTTTGTTATATCTTCATTTTCCGTCTCACCAGCATTTGTCTTATTTTCTCCCACAGCTGGTTCATGTACAACCTCGGCCTCTGGTTCAGTTGCCTTCCATAAATCTTCAGTGTTCTCCTTCACAACATTTTCCGAATCCACCATTAACAAATGAATCGAGAAAATTAAATTAAAGAATCGGTGCCTCGACTGTTTGGGAATTCAATGTCTGCAGATCATTCAGAAATTATACTTTTTTGCATAGCCAAGATAATCAGACAAACAAGGATATTAAACTCATAGATTATTATTGCCAAATACAGAGAAAACTTAATCAGACACGCAATGCATTTTACTTACCCACTATTCTTCATCACTACATAGACACACAACATAAAATTGAACTAAAATTCCCACAAGAAAAAAATTGAACTAAACTAAACTTCCAGGGTTTCGAACACCATTCATAGGCAGGGAGAATGAGCGCACAATGTCATTACAAATCACATTGATTTTCTTAAGTTACCTGCCACTGAGAAGAGGCTAAAAGCAACCTTGGACAAATTGTCTTCAGATATTCATTCATAGGCAGAATCAGGTGTCATCTGCTTCAAGTAATTTGTTATTTTCAGAGTTTAGTACGAACCAGGTAGCAGATAACAAAGTTTATATCTCAGTACATACAAGTAGAAAAATGATAACTTAACACAAAACCCCCTTACTGAAGAAACGACTGCTTTAAAAAATTCCAATTAAATGATTTTCTGTACCCTCAAAATAAAATTCCACAAAGCAGTTCGGAAATGACACAAAGATTTCAACAAAAAATATCTCGAGGATTCTAAAAGTTCATCCCCAAAAAAAAAAACATGAGCAGTCTAGATGGTCCGAGATATTCTAACCATCCAAATTTATTTATACTGGAAAAATCCAGAAGGGAAGCCTCACACTTGCAGCCTTGCATATCAGAACGACACTGGATGAGTGTATTCAGCTTCAACTGTTTTATGACTCATGTCATTTGTATCTAGTCAAGAACAGAATGTCCTAGGTACATAGAGCCTAGTTTATGCTAAATCGTGAAATATCAGATGCTATTCAACATAATCAAATCAAAGATGCAAAAATGCTTACCATGAATGAAGTCTACAGCACAACATGTATCACTCAGTGATGGTGCAAAGCAGTAATCTCTTGTAGGAATCACCAGATGGTTACTTCCGTGGCACTGCCAAAAGTTTAATGGTTAGATTAGAGCCCAAAAAATAAATGTAGAAGTTCTAGTCAAGTATAGACATGACCCAATTCAATTTTAATCCAGAGCATTCACGTATTAATACATACAATAGTATGGCAAAGCACCAGCTAATCCTGTCAGATACTTGCGCATTTTGGGAATGCTGCTTCTACTGAGAAGCACTTTAAAAACCAAGTGACTCCTGAAAATGCACTTGCAAGCACTTCCTGGGGGAAGCACATAAATCACTAACCTAGAAGCACTTGTAATCTTTTCTATCAAGCGTTTCCTAAAGCTCTTTTGGCTATCAGAAAGAACTTTTAGCACTTATCAAGGCATTGCCACACAGGCCCTAAATATTTCATGCAAAAAATATAAATATAAAAATATATATATATAAACTCTGAGCAGCAATAATATTTTATTTGAAAGAAAAATGTATCGGTTTATCTCCAACCACGCAAACTCTGAGAATGCAAATCTAGGAAACCACTAACATGATATAAAGACGTTGGAACCAAAGTCTTGTATGGCTCATTAAGTGTGATGACTCCATCTAACTCCACACGCAAACTCAATAAATTTCTTTCATCTAATATAATTAACTGCATCGCATTTACATCTATAATTAACTGAGAGCAAAACAAAACATAAACAAAAATTCCAAATTAATTCACAGCTGCAGAAAAAGGATAAACACCCACATTAAAAATAAAAGAAAAAGAAAAGGAAAAAAGATCCCAGTCACTTTCACAAGCTATCCAATCGAAATCAGAATTCAAAATGAACCAGACACCTAAACATGACAAACAAATATAAGCATAAACGGGCTTGATAAAATTATATTTGTACCTCATCGACCTTGTCCCACCACAGAAACTTAGCCTAAAGCTTATTCCCAATGACATTGTAAAGCAGAGTCCGGTAAAACAGCGCATGAGCCCCCGCACCAATAAACCCATTTTGCATCTGAACCAACAATGCTTCTGCTACCAAAATTGTATTTCCAGGGCATGAATTCCCTTCTTCCACACCTACCAACTTAACTCAATGATTGTTTTCTACTTGGTATGAGACTTTGAGCTTGGTAGAAGAACTCAATTCCAGATAAGCAAGGAAAAGCCATAAAAACAGGTGAGCATTGTCTTTTGTTCAACTTCAAAAAGCAATTCTACTCACATGCTTAACTAACTCCTCATCTCCGGATTTCTTCAGGATCTCAGCTATACTGTCAACAAAAGGAGCTTTCAGCTTAATTTCTTTCTTTAGCATTAACCTTGCCAGCTTTGCAGCCTCCACTAAATGCCTTTGTTCACAAAGGCCCTCTAAAAGAATTGAGTAAGTATCAGAGTCAATGGAAGACAAGCATTCCATCTTCTCAAGTTCATCAAACAAGCAAAATCCATCTATCACCCGTCCTTCCAAACAAACCTTTTTTAACATAATGCTACACGCCAAACTATTTGGTTTCACCCCACTATCAAGCATCATCCTCAAGACCTTCTCTGCCTCTTCAGGTTTTCTAACTCTTGCCAAAGACACAACAAGAGAGCTATAGCAATCACTATATGTAACACTACGTCCCACAACAACTCTATCAATCAGTTTATAAGCCTCTTCAACTTGATCCTCCACACAAAAACTCTTAATTAGAGCACTAACCGTTACACGACTTGGAGCACATCCACAAGCTTCCATTCGGTCCAAAATAACCAACGCCTCCTTCGACCGACCCTTGTCACAAAGCTTTTGAATCACAGACGTATATGTTACTACATTAGGGCTACAATCCCCACCTTTCTTCTCCATCTCTGTCAATAACTCCAAAGCTCTCTCCATTTTCTCAGACCTACAAAACCCATCAAGAAGTGCCGAGTACACCACAGCATTAGGCAAACAACCATGTCCCTTCATAACCTTAAACAACCCACAAGCATCATCTAACCGACCCACCTTACAAAACCCATTAATCATTACCATGTATGTGATCAAATCGGGCAAAAGATCCACCAAGCCCATCTCTTTCACCAAACTTTCAGCCACATTCATATCACCTTTATCGCAAAACAACCTTATAACAACATTATACACAGTAGTATCTGGACGCAAACCAAAATCCGGTATTTTCCTTAATACCCTCAAAGCTTCATCGGCCAGCTTAGCTTCTTTACATAAATTAAAGACAACCTTAAAAGCCTTAAGACTAACAAAGCGCCCTTCAATTCTATAAGCTTCCAAAACATCAAAAATCACACTTGGGTTTAGCTTAATCTCACACAGTTCACAAGCTTTGCTGTACATAAAATAGCTATGCCTATAACTGGAGTGAAGACCAGCCCATATGAAAAACCTAAGACCCATTTGGGATTGGCTAGGATAGCATCTCTGTAAGACCTGGCTTACACATTTGGAGTCCAATTGGACATTGATTGATGAAAGGGTTTTCTCAATGTTGCCACCATTTTCCTGCAGCCGATTGTAGATTATCTCCCCATCTGAGGCAGAAGAGAACCGCAAGATTGAGAATTTGTGACTTTTGACGCCAACTGAGGAGGACATGAACCGAGAGATTGAAGAAAGGGTCATCATTTTAAGGAAATTTCAAAGGTTTGATCCAAATATGATTAAACCCTAAATGCTGCAAGGGGCCGTGGACTCCTCGTCACGCAAACAGGGCTGCTGATGCGCGGCTGCTTTAGGGGTGCGAAGCGGAGGATGAGCGACGAAATTTTGAGAGTTGTGAGCGCCACAAACATCTAAATTACGGGAGGGATTCGAACACGGTGCAAAGTGGGGAGATTAAAATAAGTCAAATTGAATTTGAGAAGGGTAATTTGAGTCATTTTATTTGAACCTAACAATTTTTTATTGGGAGCTTTAGTAATATACCCAAAATGGGACCTGAATTTATAAAAAAACCCCACATAGAATACACTTTATAAACACACTCAAAATCCATTTATTATATAACAAATTAGTGTTCAAGTTCCTATAAATTACAGGTCTGCCACTATCAAGCCCAACACCAAACAAACTCAAAAGACACCCAAAACAAACCCAACCCAAACTTATAAACAAGCCCAAACCGTAACTTTCGTCCAAAAAAAAAAAAGTAAACCGTAACTTAAAAAAAAGTAAACCGTAACTTCCAGCACGCGCACTTTCATTAAACGTTCTCTGCAAAACGTCTCTTCACTTCACTCATCGTCTTCATCAAGTCAAATCGTCTTCATCAATTCGTCTTCATCGTCGTCGAAACCGAGACTCCATAACCACCACCAAGATTGATCTCGTTTCAAAAACAAACTCCAGACACTGACCAAGACAAAATTTCAGAGAACCATTTCAACAAGAAAACGCTTCAAAGGTAAGACATTTACAAACCAAACCTTTACTGTAATATTGATTATTTGCTATAAAGATCCAGTCTAGGGTAATAACAGTATTTTAGATTCGAATGAAAGACAAAATCTTGAAACTATATTGGATTTCACTATAGGACTGACTGCATAGGACCATTACTTTAGTCACTAATTTAGCGGCTAGCATGCTGATTAATGGCTATAAAGTTCCAGTATATGGTAATAACACTGATTGTTCCCTATGAAATACTATTTCTAAGGCATGTCTACCACTGTCAAGTTCCAGTATAGATAAAGTTCCAGTATATGGTAATAACACTGATTGTTCCCTATGAAATACTATTTCTAAGGCATGTCTACCACTGTCAAGTTCCAGTATATGGTAATAACACTGATTGTTCCCTATGAAATACTATTTTTAAGGCATGTCTACCACTGTCAAGTTCCAGTATATGGTAATAACACTGATTGTTGCCTATGAAATACTATTTCTAAGGCATGTCTATGGTAATAACACTGATTGTTCCCTATGAAATACTATTTCTAAGGCATGTCTACCACTGTCAAGTTCCAGTATATGGTAATAACACTGATTGTTCCCTATGAAATACTATTTCTAAGGCATGTCTACCTCTGTCAAGTTCCAGTATATGGTAATAACACTGATTGTTCCCTATGAAATACTATTTCTAAGGCATGTCTACCTCTGTCAAGTTCCAGTATGGGGTATTAACACCGATACTTTACTGTCGTGTTCCTATTTCTAATGCAGGTATACCAATTAAAAGATGAAGAAAGAAAGAGCCAGAAGAAACTCCAAAACAAAAGGCCAACAGTCATTATCCAAAACAACAACAAACAAGAAGCCTAGCAGATGGGAGGACCCAAATTATGTGCAGATCAAGAGCAACATGCTCTCTTTTGCAACAACAATTGACAACATCAGACAGAGACTTGAACGTCGGCACGATGTCTTAACACTGCTATCAAAGACACCTTTTTGGGCATTAATAGAAGCATATATCCAGAGAAGGTTAACAAAGGTAGAGTGCATGAAGTCTAACTACGACATTGTGAGACTCATACAAGTTTATGACACAAAGACAAAGAAGTTCAAGTTTAATGATGTTGACAGCGAGATGAAAAGCAATGATGTGGCTGAAATTTTTGGCTTGCCAAACAGTGGCAAGAAGTTACCAAGCACAACAACCTCAACAAGGCCAAAATTGCAGTTTGTAGAGAAATACTTCGCGCGGTATAAGAAGATAACAAAGACTTCAATTGATAAGTGCTTGAATTTAGCACTTGAAGATGAAACAGAAGAGGGTGCTATGGATGTAACAAGATTGATAATCCTACAACTCTTCATGACCAATCTATTCTGCAACTCTGGTTGTACACTTGCTTGGACATATACAACCACAATAGACACCTTAGAAGAGATGGGGAAATATAATTGGGCTCGAGGAGTTTTGGACTACATGTATTTTGGATTAGAACAAGCAAAGAAGAACAAGAAGGACAAAAAAAAAGCAGCCAAGCGTGAGTGGCTGCCTAATCCTAATACTGGTAAGAACACAAATCTCCAAACTGCAAATTCGTAGCATTATTCTAATGATATGAATTGACACGTGATATTTCAAAAAAATATTGTGCAGTATTGGCTGTGTCAAAGATCTAACCTGCTCACTCCAATTCCTGGAAGAGAACAAATGACACCAGCTGCTGTCAAATGGAGTCTTCAAGAACTCAGCGCGAAGCTTCATCATCTAAAGAACAACCAAATAAAGGTACTCTTTCCTTTCAAATAATCTGCAGCTGATATGACAACATTGTTAATACCATGTCATGTACATACTTGTTAATACCATGTCATAGAAGTAAACTATGAATACCATGTCACAGAGGTAAACTATGAATACCATTTCATAGAAGTACACTATTAAAACCATGTCATAGAATTACACTCTTAATACCATGTCATAGAAGTGCACTCTTAATACTAACTCTACTCAACAAACAGATAAAAAGCACTAAAGCTCAAGAGCCAGATGATGATTCTGAAGAAGAGAATGAAGAGAATGATGATGATTCTGAAGAAGAGAATGAAGAGGAGGATGATGGTGCTGAAGAAGTGAATGAAGAGCATGATGATGATGCTGCTGAAGAAGTGAGTGAAGACAAGGATGATGCTGCTGAAGAGGTGAATGAAGAGCATGGTGATGCTGCTGAAGAAGAAAATGAAGAGGAGGAGGATGCTGAAGTGAATGGAGACCATGATGATGCTGCTGAACATCAAGTCCAGCAACACCACCAGGTACAAGAAGACCTCCAAAATGAAATCCCAGAATACCGGAATTCAACGTTGTTTGAGGAAATTGTTAGATCAGTACCAGAATACAAGGAGGATGAAATACAGCTTACAAAAGAGTATATGATGGCGATCAATAATGCTGCTGAATATTGGACGAAGAAAGGAGAGCATCAAAAGATCCGTGATGCAATAGCATTTTGCATTAAAAAGAATAAATTGATTCAGATGCTGTACAATGAAAAAGAAGAATTATTGAAGCATCAGCAGCAACTGCAGAAGATGGTTAAGGAAGCAGCACATCACAAGAAAGTCATACAATTAGATGTTCATCAGGAAAAATCCTACATGACAAAGCTGCAGCTAGAAAATGATCAACTTCTTGCAGAGAAGATTTCCTACTTGGACATTATTAATGAAAAGGAAGCTGTTATTGTCTCGTTGAGAGATCAAAAATTAGCGCAAGAACTGCAGAGTGAAGAGGATAAAGAAGAAAAGAAAGAAGGTGAAGCAGAAAGATAAAATCAAGAAAACCAGATTCCTCATTCCCTAAAGCAGAGACGAGAGCACAAAAGAGAAAGGCACAAAAAAAACCAGCCAAATCAAAGAAGAGGGCCAAAGGTTCATTCCTGCAATGGATACATATCAGGTCTACAACATGCTGGATGAACTCTCACAAGAAAAGCTGAGAAATTACTGGAAAAATTCAGTTGATGGGTAAGGCAATGTGTTTCATTCATTTTCAATGCAAGATGCTATTATTGAACATGCATTAGAAAATAGGATTTCATTGTGTTATTACCCTATACTAGAACTTTACAGGGGGTAGACATGCATTAGTTATAGGATTTCAGAGGAATCTAGCAGTGTTATTACCCTATATTGGAACTTTGCAGTGATAGACATGCATTAGATATAGGATTTCATAGGATACAAGCAGTGTTATTACCCCTATACTGGAACTTTACAACGGTAGACATGCGTTAGAAAAAGGTTTTTTAGGAAACAAGCAGTATTATTACCCTATACTGGAACTTTATTGAACAGTTCTTTCAATTTTATTGCCATTTTTTCTAACTACAAATACTGTTACAGCACTGCTTTTTGGCAAGGGACAAGCATTTTGTTCAAAGATGACATACAAAGCTTATTAGGAGATACTGAAATTTATGGACAAATCATAGATGCGTATGCCGAGATACTTCATCATGATGAAAAGAAGGACCCTAAAAGACAACAGAATGCATACATCACGTGCTACGCATACGTAAGATCATAGCTATCCCATTACTTCTAGTAAAAATCACAAATTATTCATCTTCCTATACTTTTCACATTCTCTCTAATGCCGAAACTATTAATTTTGCAGAGGTATCTCACAGATAAAATGCACCCAAGAAACATTCGATGAATATTTTGTCAAACTCCTTGAATGCATAGGGAAAACTTCAAAGGTGTTCATACCAATAACGGATGGCGGACACCACACCCTGCTTGTCTTCGACACCAATTCATTGCAATGGACGCACTACAACTCATTGAGGGGGGAAACTGAGCAAACCGTTGAATACTACAACAAAAAAGCAATAATTTTGGTAAGACAGACTCCTACTATGAACTGTTAATACAAGGCATGAACAAAACAGTTAATCAGTGAAGCTAACAACATACTTGCCTACAATGCAGGCAGACGCAACAAATGTCTTCCTCAATAGTGTCAAGGAATGTGCTCCAACAATTTTAGAAAAAAACAGCTTCCCACTTCTTTAGTTCAAGAAGCCCGTCTACAATGAAGAATTGACCGGCGAGATTGCAAAACTTCCTCGAAACCTGAAAGTTACACCAGCAATTGCTCAAACAATACAATATCTGATGAAACATGATCCCACCAAATTCAACTTTAAGGAGGACAGGGAATGCGCCCAACAACCTGAAAAGTCGTAAGTTTCACAATAACACTTTTCTTCCCCCAATTCAAATTAAACTATGATTCACTAAATGTTGCATATATATATGTGTGTGTGTGTGAATTTGCAGAAACGATTGTGGAGTATTTGTCATGTACTACATGCAGAAGTTGTCACAAGGAAAACAAATTGAAGAAAGCTTGAGTACAGAGCATGTGTGGGAAATGAGAAAAGAAGTTTTATTGAAGACAATGGAAAGTGAAAAAAGTTGGTATTTCACAAAAGAGAATGAAGGATGAAAGCATGGATTTCACAAATTTTAGAACTATAAAATAGTAAATGTTCGGCTTCTAACTTCCAAATGTCAAATTGTTAATATGTAGCTTCTAACCAAAATCTTTTGATGCTTCTTAACTTTCAAATGTCAAATAGTTACTGTGTAGTGAGATTCAAATGTAAAAAATTGTTACTCTATAGCTGCTTCTATATTTCAAACTGCGAATTAACAGTGTTCAAAATGCGTATTAACAGTGACTTTCAAAAAGCCCAGCCCAAGTTGAGAAAATCAAGGTCAGAAACGAAGTAAAGCCCAAAACAAATCAACCAAGCCATAGAAAAATACAGAAAAAAGGCCCAGTCTAATTTGACAAAAAAAAGCCCAAACAAACCAAAAAAAGAGCCCAGAAAACTCAACAAGCCAATAAAGCCCAATTTCACTAAGCCCATTGAAAAAAAAGAAAATATCTCAACGCAGAGTACACGCACGCACCCAAAAAGCGAAAAACCACTCACCCTCTCACTCCGATCTTTGCGACGCGACCCACTCCAAAAGCAGGCGAAAACCTCCATAACCACCAGGCAGGAGACAACCTCCATAACCACCAATCAACGACAAACTCCATAACGAGAAAGCCGGCGAATCGAAGTTATATTCTGCCATAGCCAAAAGTCTTCAAAATCGACACTACAAAAAGCAACTGAGCACAAGGACAACCAGGAAAAAGGGAAGAAAATTTCTTCCATAAACATCGACAGAAAGGTACAATCTCAAAAACCCACAATGACTTTCCACTTTCGTCTTAAGATTCTGCTAACTAATGCAAGAGTACCACGTTTAATACAGGTAACCAACGAAAAGGTCCAACAATGACAGAAACAAACACTCAAGATTCTTCACAAATGGCTGACAAAGCATCACTATCAGACTCCCAGGTATTACAAAATCTCTTAACGTCAAAGTCCAATAGCAATGTTTTGAAAAGACGCATGTTTCGACTGCAAATGTGTACTTTTCACAACTGTTCATACCATGTCATAGAACTTGAACTGTTAATACCATGTCACAACTGTTAATACCATGCATCTTGCTCTTCTAGGGCACTGCGAAACAGTGCACTTGAAGACCAAAATATGTAGCATCCTTTGTTAATCAAAATCTGGGACTTCTATGCATCTTGCTATTCTAGTGCAACATGCACTAGAAATGTATATGAAAAAAAATCGTAGTGCACTAAAAAAGAGAAGCATGAGGTTCAAATGCATAGAAGTAAATGGTTAATACGATGTCATAGAAGTATTAATACTTATGTTTCATCTTTCTTTTGTTTAGTTAAAGTAACCTATTTTTTTCACTTTGCAGGTGGTCATATGGAAAAAGGTAACCGGGTTGAAATTCAAAAAAAAAGCATACAAAAGGATCACAAGCCAGCAAAAGCACAAAACAGCATCAAGAAACACACAAGGCACACCACCAACAACAGCAAAAACCAAACTATCCCACACCCAAATCCGCAAACACACTGAAACCAAAGAAAACAACGAAGACAAAAAAAACACAATCCCAAACACAAAAACCTCAACCAAACAGACGCAATAACCCAGATTATGTGCAGATCAAGAACAACATGCTCACATTTGACAACACATTGCAAACGGTAAAAGACAAGCTTGCAGCAAGAAAGGATGTCCTCAAGATCCTACAAAAACGCCATTCTGGAGCATCATCAAGGCTTACATGGAAGGTCAGTTAACCAAGGTAGAATGCCAGAAGTCTAATTATCAAATAATTAAACTAATCAGACTCTACAACCCCGCAACCAAAAAATTCAAATTCAGTGAAGGCAACGAGCATGAAATTACAAGCAATGATGTGTCTGACATCTTTGGATTGCCAAACAAAGGAAACAAGTTGCCAAGCACAACAACTTCCACAAGAACAAATTTGGCCTTCGAAAAGAAGTACTTCGAGAAGTCAAAAAAATCACAAAAACTGAGATTGATAGGTGTCTGAACACAGCAATAGCAGATGACAGAAAGAAGAATGCAATGGATGTTGTCAGGTTGTTAATCCTAGAGCTCTTCATCACAAATCTCTTTTGCAACTCTGGGGCGACAATGGCTTGGACCTTTTTGACTATGATCGACACATTAGAAGCTATGAACAGCTACAACTGGGCACAAGGAGTCTTAGATTACATGCATTATGGACTGGACCAAGCCATAAAAATAAAAAGGACAAGACAAATCAACCAAGCGTCAGTGGTTGCCTTGTGCTAATCCTGGTAAGAAACTACATCCATTTGTTAATCCTGTTATATTATTTGTTTTCATGTGCATTAACACTTTATATTGAAAAACATGTTTGCAGTATTGGCTGTGTGAAAGAACTAACCTGATCAGTCCAATTCCTGAAAGAGAAGATCACAAACCAGCGGCTGTCAAATGGAGCCTTCCGGAGCTCAATATCAAGCTGAATATTGCAACATATGAAAACATTAAGGCATTTTTCTTACTTCCATAAACATATATAATGTTAGTACACCATAATTACTACTGACTCCAATAATTCAACAGATAAAAGCTGCTGACAATGAAAAAGAAGAAGCAACAAAGACTGATCATGCAGACCATGAAGAACAAGAAGAAAATGAAGAGGATGATGACTTTGTTATCACACTTAAAGATTGGGTAAGATAACCTACAATGATCCAACATTTATATTTCAAAACTGAATTGATAGTGTACAAACACATATACATGTATATAAATTTGCTAATACTTTTTTTTTCCTTTCTAATATTTGTGACAGTTAAAGAGTCAAACACAAAAAGGAAAAAGCCAGACTGTTATTACCCAGAAACAGAACTTCAGCTTCCATGAAAATGTGGACCAAAGTGCAACCCAGACAAAAACTCCACAACAGAAGCAAAATGAAGACAATGCACAATCATTGGGATGCAAAGCAGATGATGAAATTGAAGAACCACCAGCACAATCATTGGAATGCGAAGCAGATGATGAAATTGAAGAACAAGCAGTTGACCTTAGTGCAGACTCAGTGACGGAGGAGGACACTGTTAATGTCCAGCAACAGAACCCAGAACTTGACAGCCAAGAAGAAGACTTCGACTCCATTTTTGTGGACATAGTGGGGTCAATCCCAGAGTACTACAAGCATGAAATAGCCCCTACCCATGAGAAAATCCAACAGCTGAAAGAAGCAGTCGACTATTGGATTGAAAAGGCAGATACTCGAAGGGATATGATGCAGACTGCTATAGAATCCTGCATAAAGAAAAATTCATTCATTCAACAAATATGGACTGAAAAAGAAGAGTTGGAGCAACAAATTGAAATACTGAAAAAGCAGCTTGAGCAAGAGAAAAAGAAGGTGCAAAATTACAAGGGGAACTTCATGCACTCAAATCAAATAGGAGACAGCTACAGGAACAACATGAACTACTTGAAGGGGAAAAGTTGTCCTGCATTGAGAGCATGAAAGAAAAAGACACTGTTATTGCCTCTTTGCAACATGTGATGGGAAAAAAAATCAAACAAGGTGAACAAGGAGAAATTCCGATGAAAGAACAAGCTGATAAGGAGAAAAAAGATGAGAGAATAGCAGAAGAAAGTGAATTGGAGATGCAAGAATCTCCTAATGATGAAGATGAGAACGCCGATGGAAAAACTCCTGAAAAGTTAGTTATCATGCAAGCAAAAGAAGTAGGAACACGGCAGTTGCGTTCTGGCATCAAAATAATCAAAGACAGAAAAGACAGAAAGCCTGCAAAGAAACCAGATTACACATACCCCGAAGCACATAAGAAAGGCCGAAAAAGAGCAAGCCAAAGCGAAGATGAAGCAGCCAACAAAAAAAGGAGGACAAAGATACATACCTTCAGTTGCACATGTATGAGGTCTACAACAGGCTGGATGAAATATCAAAGAAGAAGTTGGAAAATTACTGGAAATCTGCATCTGATTCTGATGAGTAAGCCAATCTGTCACAGAATTACACTGTTAATACTATGCCTTAGAACTGTCATAGAATTACACTGTTAATACTATGTCATAGAACTGTCTTGTTATTAAACTATTATGAGATTATCATTTTTAAACAACATTATTGTCGCAGGGACGCTTTTTACCTACAAAATAGGACAATATTGTACAAACATAACATTGAAAAGCTGATGGGAGATGGTCCAATTTCTGCACTAATCATCGATGCTTATGGAGAGGCACTTAATGATGATGCGAAGCAGAACCCTCAGAAACAGAAAAATGCATATTTGTCCGTCAATAACTATGTAAGATCACATCTAATACATCAATTTTATATCATCAACATGCTCACTAATCACCAACACATGACTTTTGCAGATATTTTTGCGAGGTGCCTCACACAAGCTAACATATCATGCTTTCTATATGCCACTCCTAGAAAATATTGGAAGAGTTGATAGAGTGTTCATACCAATTACAGATGAGAACCACCATACGCTGCTTGTCTTTGACACCGGTGCAGCAAAATGGACACACTTCAACTCATTCAGGGGGACATCAGAAAAAACTCTCCAATATTATCACAAGAAGGCAATTGTTTTGGTAAGTAAGACTGGTGATTAACACTGTTAATACATAGGACACTAAATTTAAAGAAAACTAAGCACATACTTGACTATGATGCAGGTTGAGACAGCAATATATTCCTCTGTCTTCTTAAGGAATGTGCTGCAGTATCACTGAAAACAAAACTCGTCCAAATTCCTGATTTTGATGCCAAGAAGCCGAGAGGGCTTAATGAAGCTTCAGCTAGAATGATAACAAAAAATACTTGCCAGCAACGAACTTACACCAGAATATGCTCAGACAATGAAGTATCTGATTTGTCATGATACTACTAACTTCAAGCTGACTGAGAACAGAGAATGTCCCCAACAAGCAAACAATTCGTAAGTTACGCAATAACAGTGAAACTTTCATCCTATTCAACTAAAAAAATACTGAAATAACTCCTGCATGCGTATCTCTATTATGCAGCAATGATTGTGGCGTCTTTGTCATGCACTTCATGAAGCAGCTTTCCAAAGACCAACAAATAGAATCAGATTTCAACAAAGAAAAGGTCTGGCAAATGAGAAAAGAAGTCCTCATGAAAATTATGAGCAATGAAAGAAGTTGGATTTCCATCAAAGAAAGAGAAGAGAGAAATGCAAAATAATGAAGTTGTAATCAAATATTTTGCCAAAATTCTTGCTTATATTGTAGTTTCTTAGGACTTGTGTAGGTTTAGAACATTGAAGTAAAGTGATTTTCAAATTCAAGTTATGTACTTATTCAAAAACCAGTTTATTTACGTGAATTAACAGTGTATGTAACCTCAAATAATGGTCTCCATAGCACTAAAACAACTAAAAAGGTGAACTACAATAAATAACAACGCACTCTCAAATCAATGTTAATGCTATTTGATAGAAATAAATTGTTAATACCATGTCATAGAACTATCTTTCAATTTCAATAATGGCATGAACAGTGAGCATTAAATAGTGTTCGTTCATTTATAGATTATTCAAACAGTAGTAATGCTTAATTCATATCAAACTTCAAAACCGAAATTTGCAAAATACCAAAAATGGTAAATATTATGTATTAATACCAAAAATTCAAAGTGTATTCATATGCAGTGACTGCTATTTCACCGTATTAACAACTTGCATATCAATTTCTATTCCTTTCAACTATGATTGTCATTAATCAATCACATAGAACTTTAACTAGTTAAAAACTAACTACTCTCATTCAAGTCTTTATACTCAGAACCTTTACATCAAATAGGAACCTTGCAAGTCCTCCTATTATGACGATCACAAGAACCGCATCTCTTGCACTTCACCTGCCTTTTAGTTTCACTGCTTGACTTGAAGCGCTTTGTCGGAGGTCGTCCCGGAGGCTTTCCTGTATGAGGAGGTAGAAGAAAAACATCTCAGGAGGAGGCTTCTCAATATCAGGTATGGGAAATATAGGGGTTGCATAAGTAGCCTTATAAAAGTCTGCCTTGTAATACTCATCCACAAAGTTGTACAAACATAACCCGGAATGTTGGATAACTTGAATCGCATGCTGACACGGAAACCCAAGCAATTGCCACTGATAACAGGAGCAAAACCTCTCGTCCAAATTGACCATAACACTCAAATCAGCATGAACTTCAAAAACAGATTCACTCGCGCGACATATCCTCCAATGACGACCCTTTGCAGCTAAATTCTTCAACTCATCCTCAATAACAGGACACAAAACACTACTCCATTTCTCGGATGCAAGCTTCCTCCTAGAAATCATCTCCATCATTTTGATCCTAACAGTGTCAATCATCTCATAAATTGGAAGCCTACGCACATCCTTAATCCATGAATTAAACGACTCGGACAAGGCATTACTAACCTCCCCATACCTCTTTCCCGAAAAAAATGCATTAGCAAAATTTTGGACAGGGAGATCAGCCAAAAACTTATCAATTATTTTTGAACCGCCATCATCTCTTAATTTTTTCAACGTATCTTGATATTCCTCAACAGTCGGTGCATACAACAACTTACAAAAAGGCCATAAAATATGATCCTTGAAAGAGGAACCAACAGCATGCGGATACTTCTTTTTCAAGTTCTCTTTCAAATGATATAGACAAAAACCATGGGGAGAAGTAGGAAAAACAGTCCTAACAGCATCGATAATAGCACCATGCCTATCAGAAATGAATGTAAGTTGCCTACCTTCATCAACCAAGACTTCAGATATCCTTTGCAGAAACCACCTCCAATTATCCACAGTTTCACCGGATACAATGGCAAAGGCAAAAGGGAATACTTCTACAAGAAACAGAGAACTATATTAGTTAGTTTGAACTGTAACAGTGTTACCACATAAAGCAGAGTAAAACTACAATGCATAAAAATACTCAGATGCAGGGTATGAACAGTATAGAAACTGTTCATACCACTCAATGGAAGTCAACAACTACAGCATTTACATTTGCATAACTACACTGTTCATACCACTCAATGGAAGTCAACAACTACAGCATTTACATTACATACCTTTATTTCCATTCTTTGCAGTAGCTCCTAGAAGAGTACCCTTGTACTTGTTTGTGACGAAAGTACCATCAATGAACAGCATAGGCCTACACCACCGAAAACCATCAATGGAGGCCTTAAAACATATAAAGATCCGCTGGAAACGAGAAACCATCCTCGCCACAGTCAAGCACACAATGAGATCCGACATTGCTGGCCTTCAAAACATTCACATACCAAGGCAGGTGAGCATAAGACAACTCCTCATCACCATGCAAATCCTTAGTAGCCGACTCCTTCCCATACCACGCAACATGATAAGGGATATCCAATCCATAATTCTCCTTCAAATCAGTAATCAGCTCAATAGGCCTTACCAAAGGATTGCTACGAACCTTATCTTTGACAATTGAAGACACCAAACGAGACCCCATTGCCTTATTTCTCTTCTCACGGATCAAACCACTGCAACTGTGTGCATTATTTAAGTTCTTAATATAAAAAAATCCATTTACATTCGACTTAACAGCATGCACATGCCACTCACAGCCATTTGATTCCTTCTTAGCACACACAGCAGTAACACGACGAGGCTCATTTTTCAAATATTTCATCTTAAAACCATTCTCAATCGAGTACTTAGCCAACTTATCACGGAATTCACAAACTCCACCCTCAAACTTCTGACCCTCATGAGTAATATAACCCTCCCAATCAGTAGACAAATACTTACGACCTCCACAACTACCATATTTGCCTAAATATTCATTTCCATACTCACTGCTAATACCATCAAAATCCATACTCAAAGAAGAAGAAGAAGCTGCACTTGAATCAACAATACTACCAGTTTGAATTGAATATTTACATGTATCCTCATCTTGTGCAAAACTGTAATTGTTAGGAACAGCCTCCAACAAAAAAGGAGAAGCAATTATGTTCGTATTAACAGTTTGAACATAATTCACTACAGCCTTATCCCTAACAGCAATGTGAATTAATTGATCCTTCGTTAGTCCACATACCATAAACATGATTTTCAAATCATCATCCAATTCCAATAAACAATTGGAGCAATCCGTATAAGAGTACCTCAACTCAAAATGACCTAACTTCAGCTTGAACCTACTACACAACTCGTTGGACAGCCAATCAAAAGTAGTAGTTGAAGACAAAATGACCTAACTTAAGCATTAAAGTTCCACCACCATAGGTGCACTTTGCCACTCTCGAATCATCCATATCTATACAAAAAAACAACAAACAAAACAAAAATGACTACTAGCAATAACAGTGGATGCCGAGTATTAACAGTGAATTATGGTCGACTCAAAAACCAATAGTGCATAAACAGAAAAAAACACGAATATACTCAGATTCAACTGAAAAAACCTCAATTAATATGAAAACCAAATCGAATATCACAAAAGTTTCACCACACCTCAAATCAAAACACAAGAGCAAATCCACAATCAAAACGAATCTGAAATCAATCCAAATTATAAACAAAAAGAAACGAAAACCTAATCAGCAACTTAATTAATCGAACATGAAATCACCAAAAATCAGACTACAATATAATCGAATCCTCAAAAAACGAATATGAATTCACAAGAAAAAATCGAAATACCTCAAAATCGAAGATCACAGATCGCACCAAGCTCCAATCGAGTCTCTTGCAGCGCAATATCAATCCAAAAATTACCAAATCAAACAGCAAAGAACAAAAAAATTGAAGCAATAGAACTCCAATCTACACCATACTGAGCTCAGAAGAATCCAAAAAGAAGATCTGAAACCACATCATACTGAGCTTCGTTCGAAGAAGTGAACGAAGCTCGCTTCGTTCGAAGAACTGAACGAAGCTCGTTTGGAATATTCGATCTGCTGAGGCTGCCAAACAGGTTTCTGTTATGAGGTCACCAACGTAAATTTTCAGAAATTCCTATCCTACCTGGCGAATTTTGGGTCTGTTTCAAAGAATTCAGACCAAAAGGTCAAAACCGTAATCTAACATAGAAAATAAATTCAAAAATTGACAGCTGTTGGTTTTTGGGTTTATTTTGGGTGTGTTTATATGTTTTAAATAGTCTAGGGTTTTATTATAGTTTCATGTCTAGAATTGGGTGTTTCACTAATTTTCTATTTTTTATTTTACCCCTCACTTTCCACACACATAAAATTTTAGTGAAATTTAAATTTATTCACCACTCCAATCACGTATTCCTAAATTACTCTCACTAACATAAATTCATCACACACATTTTATATTGAGTTAATTACAGTTTAGTATCATGTGGTTACACCTTTAAAACATATTAATTCATATCTTCTCAATTTTAACTATCACATATCTCGGTCTTTTAAATTTGTTACAATGTGGTTCCGCCATTAAAGTTTCCATCAGATCTCTCTGTTAGTTGCCTACGTGGCATTGTTCCACCCACCCCCCCTCCCCCCTGGCCCCCGGATTTCCCTTTGTTGTCGAGAGACCACCCCATAGAGCCCTACCCCTTCCTCCCACATTATGTTTTTCACCCACAAACCCTCAAACCCACCCACATATGCAAACAAAGTTCAAAATTCTTTTTTCTTTCCAATTTGTTGGTTTTTGAATTTGCAGAGAGAGAGATGAAGATCGGCAGATCTCACCAGAAAATGCCGACTAACAGCGGCAACGAGGTCTGTAGGATGGAGAGAGAGTGGTCGGCGAGTTGGGTTCTGGGTTCTTTGTTCTTTAGATTTTGTTTCTCTTTTAAATGCTGGGATTGGACCTTGTTCTTATGTACATGTATGAAAAATTCCTCTAAGGCAATTAGAGATGTGTTTTCCATCTGTCGAAGAAAATCATTTTGGTTTCTAGGTTATTTTAAAGGAAGGGAGCACTAGGGTGGAGGGTGGCTGCTATTGGCTATCCAATAGAGAAACCATGTTTGTGAAAACATCTAGAATTGGACCTTGTAAATCATTTCCATCTAATTCAATATATATAAATATATAAGGTTGCTGCTATTGACTATCCAATAAAACACTGAAGAATTTGAAGGATTATCAAAAAGTTGAAGGACTTGAAGAGAGGTGGAAGAGTTAATAAAGGAAAGTGATCTATGATCAACATCAGGAAGATTATATGAAGATAATTGTGAAGCTCTAAGAGAGAGAGAGAGAGAGAGAGAGAGAGAGAGAGAGAGAGAGAGAATTATTTTATTTATATTTTAATCAATTTTAAATTGAAAAATGTAAAAAATGTGGAACTCACAATGCCATGTAAGCAACTAATAGAGAGATATGACGGAAACCCTAACGGCAAAACTAATCAGTGCATAATTGTATATAATTTTTTATCCTTCTAGCTTATGATTTCGTTATATTTTTTAGTTAAATTTGTGCTTTTAATCTCTTTTGTGTTTGTTTCAGTGTATTAAGCTTTGAGACTCAGTTAATATATTTTGGAGTCAAGTTAACTCAAAATTGTATATGCAGATCAGTTAACTTCACGGATTAAACTTACATGCTTAGGAAGAACCAGCTAATGAGTCATACACCATTGGAAAGATGTGGAAGTCTAGTTTCTAGAATATTTTACAGTTCATGATTCCAAGTCTTCCAAAGGAAGTTATGCAAGTTTTGGCAGCTTAAGGTGAAATTCGACAGCATCTGCATTACTGTGCCAAAAATGATATTTGAATGTCTTTCCGATTTTTCCTTGAGCTGGGTTACATATAATTGGAAAGATAAGACAAAGAGCTTCAAGACTCATATTTTCTTGAATTTTATGAATGGAACAAGCCCAAAATGAGCCTACAAGCGGACTGCAATGTATTGTCATGCATGACATATACATGAGCTAATTATTTTTTATGAGGAAGTTAGGTAAAGTTGGTGAAGTGAGTGTTGTAGGTAGAAGCAATACTCAATTCAGATTCTTACTTCTCTTAAGCCTATAAATAATGAGATTCCCCAAGCTTTCAAACATATCCCAAGTGGGGAGCTCTCAAACACCTCTCTAGAGCTTATCTCCTTTCTCTTCCTCAAAATATCTTCTCAAACATACCCCGGGGGGGGGGGGGGGGGGGGGGGGGGGGGGCGTGCTCAAACACCTCTCTAGAGCTCCTCTCCCTTCTCTTCCTCAAATTCTCTAAGTTCTCAAACACACCCCAAGAGGGGGAAGCTCTCAAACACCTCTCTAGAGCTCCTCTCCCTTCTCTTCCTCAAAATCTCTAAGTTCTCAAACATCTCTCCCTTCTCTTCATCAAATTTTCTTAGTTCTCAAACAAACCCCAAGGGGGGGAGCTCTCAAACACTTCTCTAGAGTTTCTCTCAATTCTCTCCCTCAAATTCTTTTAGTTTTTCTTTTAAGTTCTCAATTGTTGTAACAAAACCCTTTTACTAAATTTTCCTTTATGTTTTTCTTACTTGTAATTTATTTTTCATTATCATGTAATTTCTTATTACGGTTCTTGTTCTTATTCATTATGCTTATAAGTTAATATGCTTGTTTGAATGATTGATCACCATTAAAACTTGTATGTTAGCTATCTTGATTGGAATTAAGAGTAGACACCATATGCTTTAATTTGAATTGAACTATGAATAGGAAGAGTATGTATAGACATTCGACAACAGGGATTAGATATATGCTTGGTTGTTTAAAACATTCTTCTATGCTTAATGGATTTCTAATGCTTAATTTAGGTTGGACAACAAGGATCTAATTAGGGAATTGGGAATACAAGGTTAGGACCAGACACCATGGCTTAATCATACTTTAGCTAGAATCAATCTGAGAATCTGAATTGAACTTGTTAACTTATTTGCTTGAGTTTGTTTCTTTTCTTTCTTTCTTGTTGTATGTTCTCTTCTTTTTTGTTTTCTGTTTTGTGTAGAGAATCAAATTGAATCAAGTTATCATCAATCCTCGTGGGATCGACCTCGCACTTATATGTGTTATACTATCGAACGGCTCATGCACTTGCGAGTATCACAAGTTGAGGATGCAATTGGATTAATTTTGGCGCAGCTGATCCGACAACAACAGGAACCACATTGTAACAAATTTAAAAGACCAGAGTATGTGATTGTTAAAATTGAGAAGATAATGACTAACATATCTTAAGGGTGTAACCACATGGTACTAAACTGTAATTTACCTTTTTTTATATTCACACCCAATCACTTATTATTCAAATAACATACTCAACTTTTATTTTGACCCAAATAAACCTATTTTAAACTCATTTTCGCGCATTGTGTATTCAAATCCTGGATAATTTTTTCCTCAACTCATTTTTGAAAACCCCATTGCTCTATCACTTTGCAAACCCTAAGGCTGACCCCATCAGTTCTGCGACAATATACTGAATACCTCTCACATATGCGATACAACTTTATCGAATGATAGTGATGCATTACGTAGCTACCTACCGAATTTTGAATTGTTTGTCGGTGATGTTTCATCGAATCATAATGATGCATTCAGTGTCTATTTAATATTTTAGTAGTTTTTTACCAAATTTTGAATAGTTTTTCGGTGTTTATTTAAGATTTGAGTAGCTACTACAATTACAATGAAACTGTAATTGAGAGGCCTTTGTAAGCTAGATGATTTATGAGCCTCGACGTTTTCATGGGAATAATCTACTGTTTTTTTTATTTATTAAAGTAGCAAATGGGATTTATAAAAGCTCCATAATTGATATTGAACATGAAGAATTATATATATATATTTTTAAGAAAAATATATATCTTCTATAACAAATTTCATGGCACCAAAAACAAACTGCCTTTATTTTACGTATCTACAATCTAGCTAGCAAAGCAATAAGAGCTAGAAAGCATATGCGTTGCAATTTCACTAACATAGACAAAATATATAACTATAAGTATCTCAATTTTCATAGATTTATAATCTCTTCAGTATCAAAGGCCAATGTATTCATATTGGGTCATGTTCTTCAGTCATTGGGCCATCTCTCATGGTAGGGGCCAAATGTCAAATTATAACAATATAGCTTGGATGGAGGCCCTAATGCAT